TTCCTTCGACGGGGCATTCCCTAATCGGCAACTAGTAGGGATGCTGTGAAAGATGTATTGGAGGATCCCGAGGGGGATCGAGGGTAGCCGAGTTTAGCCGAGGGTGGCCGAAGCGAAGCGGCACGTGACGAGAGAAGGGTGCCGATACCGAAGTTCACCCTTCGGTACGATTCTGCCTCCATTCGGGGTGAACCATCCATTCAGTATGAAACGCGCATTCATTGATACAGAGCGTAAGGTGAAAGCTTTCCCAAGGGTGAAAGCAGTCGCATTCCGTAGATTCCGTGCCGTGTCCAAAGCGGCACGTGACGCCCAATGCTGGCTAGAAGCCAAAACTAATTACATTAAGCCTCCTCCGTTCCGTGCGCTCGGATCGCGGATCGTAAGCCAGGAAGTACACGCCACGAGTAGGAGGACAATTCACTCGGTCCACGACGCAAAATTACCATTTTAATTGAATCTGCCTCTCTGCGTCCCCCATCCGGCCTTCACACTCGAGCGTCCCACTCGGCTCCCCTTTCGCGTAGTTCACCACACGGACTTCACCCTCCACCGTTCACTCCAGTTAAACCAGCTCACCCGGTATACAGTCCTTTAGGCTCGATCGACGAACCTTTTTCCTCCTGACCGCCTCTGTGCGTCGCTGGTTCGCATCCAGTCTGGATACTTTTTTTTTTTTTTTTTTTTTTTTTTTTTTTTTTTTTTTTTTTTTTTTTTTTTTTTTTTTTTTTTTTTTTTTTTTTTTTTTTTTTTTTTCAAATAATTAATAACTCTACCGTGCATTTTTATACAGACAGTCTATTCCCATAAAGCAGTTCGAGACTTGACCTTATTTTTTAATTTATTAATTAAAAATTTACGAAAATACGATTTAATCGCCGGTCATTTTATTTATTTATGGGTAGGGTTTAGTTTTTCTTTTTTTTTTTTGTAAATTACCCAATTTTTTTATTTAATACAACTTTCTTTTTGAAACTCGCACTTTATATTTACGTATATTAAAATTCTAATACGAGCTGACCTGTCGTTATGCAAAATTCTTGTGTATACGATTCGCAGGAAAAATTGTGCAAAGTGCATTAAAAAGTTTATAATCCGCGTTATAATCTTGTAAAAAATATACATATTTCACTAGTCACTATAGTGGCGGATTTATATGTCAAAGTTATGTACGCCCTGTAGATACAGATAGTGACGTAGTTACTATTGGAAAAACCACGATGGAACTGATTCCAGACACCCGTGAAGATGAAGCAGCATCCATCCCATATCCTATCTCGGCATGATCCTTTGAGGGGTTCGTGCTTCTCCCGTAGACCCGGTCCATAAAGCTGAACCAAGTTACGTAACTCACTAAGGAAATGTGGGATTCGACTTTGAATTGTATCAGATTCCTGAAATACCCTGCACTCCGTGTATCTCGATGATCTCGTTCGCTCGCTGGATCGCACAGGGGGATGATATGAATTTATGGGGTGACGCCCGACAAGGGGGCTAACCGCATAACTCAGTGCCCACGCGTTCTGCCATCGGCCGACCTGTCGGACGTGGAAACCCCGCTCACGGGAAACGCACGCGGAGGATTTGCGAATTCGCACGTGGCAAAGTGGTCAAGCAGAAAATTTATGTCACGGATTACGTACGTACTTTTTGGATCGATGACCGTTGTGGTGGGAAAGTGGATTAAAATTTTTTGGCCAGAAAATGTTGGATTTGAATAATTATAATTTCAATGAGAACTTTTGGAAATTTTGTATTTTTTTTTTTTTTATACCTATCGATTTCACGCTATCCGATTGATTTTTGGTAGTACGTTCGCATACTTTATCGGCTGTTCACGGTATGCCGGATATACTTGTCTATAAATAAACATCGTTCGACGGTTTTATGAGATAATAATGCGGAAATCGAGGCTTAGTCCGATTTGCATACCAGTTACGAGTTACTTGATAATATCATGAATTTTCGACGAGGGTAAATTAGATTTTCGATACTAGGAATTAAACGAGCCTAATGCGGATTATCGAGTCGATCGTATAAATGAAACATTTACAATTATCCATATCGAGTGAAAATTCCAGGAACTGATCGTAAAAAAAATTATTCAGAAAATAAAAAAAAATACAAATACAACGACGCAGCGAGTTTTTGCGAGATTTTTCGAAAATTCAAAAGTCAACCTTTCCCGTGCCCCCATAGAAATTCTATAAATTTTTTATTTCCTTTCTTTAACATCATATCCACACTGCGAATAGATAACCCTAAAAAAATAAAGACTCAACCCTAAAACACTGTACCCGTAAAATAAATGGCTAGACTTTACTTTCGGGGGTTAAAAAATTGGTATAACCGAAAAAGTTTATAATCCCGCGAATACACCATAAATTTAAAAATGCGTAACTACGGGATTACCTATTCCTAAAAAAAAGAGATGGAGGGGGGGTCGCACGTATTTCATAATAAAAATGTCTGAAACATTTCGTAAGGTACGAAGGGATAACGCGCAATGCCAAATTGCGTAATGGACTCAGTGTGGAACATGATAAAAAAAATTTCCAACATATATATAACATTGTTGGATCAGAAATAAAATGGAAAAATGTATAAATCCAAAAATTCATTATAATACATTCATATTTTGTCTGATGATATAATTTCACTAAGTTGTTTTTCGGACACCCTGTATATCCGCATGTGCTCAATGTTGCATGACTATGCCGTCTAGCTTTCCCTGTTCACCTGGTACACGTAAAAAAAAAAAAAAAAAAAAAAAAAAAAAAAAAAAAAAAAAAAAAAAAAAAAAAAAAAAAAAAAAAAAAAAAAAAAAAAAAAAAAAAAAAAAAAAAAAAAAAAAAAAAAAAAAAAAATCTGCAATCCCGGAATCACATGTAGCATACAACCTTTTACTCTACGCGTTGCTTTTACCGGCTTAATAAAGTACACTATAGACTCCGTGTTATTATTTCCGGCCGCGGGGCTTCGGATTGCGGTGGGAAGCGTAGCCAGGACATTTTGTCCCAAAGTAGATTACAATGGGATGCGGAAATTTCATGTTTCCGTACGAAGTTAGACAATAGATCCAATTTCACAGTGACCCCAGTCCGTAATATATATGTATATATATATATATATGCAATATACACGTATATTATAATATGCAATATACACGTATATATATAATATACACGTATGTATAAATATATAAAGAAGAGGTTCAAAGTATATTTAATATAAAAAAATATTTGTTACACTAAAATCACTCTACTCCGTCATATCCAAAACAGAATATAATTGTATTCGCACTTGGTACTATTACTTACGTACTAAAGATTAAAATAAAGCATAGCTAGTACAGTGGTTAATGGGGTTAAGATAAAAATGGTCAATTATACAAAATAGATGATAAAAGATCATTTTTATTTTTATAGAAAAAAAATTAAAATACGGAAAAAATTTTACATGGTAAAGATTGCATGTAAAATTTCATGTAAATTCTGAATTAACGCTAGACGTTTATTAAGTATAGTACCGTATATAGTATACCTTGCAGCATTTCGTATTACGTAACGTAGTATTCGATGTAACATTGGATATATATGTATAGATATATATCGTCAGCTATCCAGTATGAGGTCGTCTGTACTGTTAACTGTGAAGCATTAGTACAGCTTTTGTTACAGTGTGTAAGTATACCAGCTTCTATATTTATAGAGATTATTGAAGTGTCTTTGATGCGTTTCAACGAACCTTGATAGACACAATAATATCTGGTTGAAAATGTGGCTGATCCATTTTCAAAATTGCTAGATGTTTCGAATTAGAGATTCTAGAAAGTATATACTTGTGAACAGATGAGAATTTGAGATCGTGATGAAATTAAAAAAAAAGAATGATGGAATTGATAAAAAATGTGACTAATGGAATTTTTTTAATGGTTTTTGCTTTTTCGATTTACTTTCACGTGTTTGATCTGCATGAAGGAGCTACTGTGGCGGTGAGGAGTGTCGCGAAGATCTGAAAAGGGCAAATCAAACGTTTATAACTCGAGCCGTTTAATTTGCCGGAATTGAAATTCTGTTTGGTTGGTTATTTCATGGGATTGACGGTTCTTGGAAAGAAGAATTGTACCTTGATGCCAGGAAATGTAAGCTTCATTGCCCTGACGCTTCAACTGTACGGTCTTTGAAGAAAAGACGGGCGGTATATCGCTGACGAGATTGTCGTCGTTGAGTTTTTGTATGAATAAAAAATGGTTTACCTTTTTTTCTCGTATTATAGAAACCGCCTTTATACACGAAAAATTCAATTTTGATGTTCTGTTATAACGAGAATGCCATGTACAGTAAGTTTACTCTTCGATATAAAAAAAAACCCGTGGACTGTTGCCTAAAAAAAATTCTTGCAATATTATTGGAAATGTGTATTATAATTTTATCTGTTTGAAATAAACGAAATTTGCGTTCTTGACCCAACGGCTGCTTGGAGTGCCAAAAACTCCCGCGTGGCGGCGTAACATGAGGCGTAACATAACCGTAAGGCTACCAACATCGACTAGGTAGAGTCGGGCGAGGATTCAACAAGTCCAAGAAATATCGTCAAGTTCCTAAGTGACACATAGAAACGACGTGAGAGGGTCGAAAACTGCGACGAGTCAGCCGTCTGGAAAGCATAGAAGGAAGCCATGGGTCAGTAGACCTGCGGAAAATTCCACGAGACGGAATTTGAAATGTAGACGCATCTACATTTCAATGTAGCCACTTCGCATACTCTGTCAGAAAGCAAAACTGCCAAAAATTATACGGTGAGTAAAAAATATTCCAGTTAAAAAAAAATACCATAAGCGCGACGTCGTAACTTGCCGTCAAGAATAAAATAAGAAAAATAAATACACCTCGTTGCCAAGTTCAATCTCGAATTCGCGAAAAAGTTAATCCAGTGCAGTAATTTTTCTTTAAAACCTATCTACATACCGATCCACGATAAATAATCACCCCGTACAGCCCGTAAAAACCAGTGTCTCTCACCTGCGTACTGTGTGCACTATTCCAATTTGTCAATAACACAGGTAATGCATCCAATGCATAACGGTATAATGGCGCCCGGTTTACGACGACGTAAGCTTAATTCACAGGCAGCTAATGACTTCCCTTGATCATACAGCTGACTAATGCAGTTAATTACTCGACTGCAGATCATTCGCCGAACGCGATCTGCGCACCTGGGACACACAAAGTCTGTGCACTAATTGGGCCAATCGGTAGGAGCCAGTCGTAACGTGAAAAAATAGTGACTGTGGAAACGTTATATTCCGGTGAGTACGTAAACAGTCATTTATAATTTTCCTAAAAGATCTTCACCGCTTCTATCACGTGTCGAACAATCAATCAGTAAAATCGACCACAATACTCTTATTGTAATGTCACGGATAATCAGAAACCCCGCTACGTACGTAAACGCCGTGATCGAATTTCAGCCGCGCTAGCTTGATGGAACGACCGGGGATTTCGTCGACATTGTGTAGGTGGCGCGGCAGACTGTAGTACGTAAACACGAGGAAGCCAAGCCGAGTCGGCTAGGCTGGGGAGGGGATAGGGATCGGAGCTATTGCAACGAGGACACTCGGCGTCTCGACACTGCCGCACTTAAGTCGATCCAACAACAAGGAACGTCAATGGCGTCTGGAGAGCGTCCTTCGTGATGCGAACGACAAGCAGGGCAACATTTGATTAATCTGAAGCAATCGGTTGCGCGATGCAGGCTGGGCAACGAAAAGGAACAAAAAGGAATAAAGAAAAAGTGCTTTGGTTGGATGGATATAAGCTGAGGTAACGTAGAGGTGACTGGAGCAGGAGGTTTGTGGGGATGCTAGTGGAATACAATAGAGAAAAATAATGTTGGGGCGAATTGCGCCATTCACGATGGTCGCGTGACGATATCTCGTTAAAAGAGAAAGGGGGGAAATAAAATAGGTAGAACGTGCATAGCCAGGGTGAGGCAGTGAATTAAAAAGTGTTGAAGAACCCTTGAGTGAGTATGGCTTCCTTCTCGCTACATTTACTGGCTTTTGTCGTAGATTCTAGTTACGTCGAACGACTCTGACGATATTTTGGTATTTAGTACCTTTTCGGAGATATTTATCACGTTCTCGAGTCAATCTGATGACGTGAATTTACATGACGCGACCTTAGATTTTTTTTGCCGGCAGACCCATCAGCCGTTTCTTGCGCTTGGGTTGGCAGGAAAGACGACGTCGGTCTGACAAGACTGATTTACATTTGACTACGACTCAGGCTTCGGGAACGTCGAGAGGGAAATATCTGGGAATCTTTGAAATATGGGGGAAAAAATATGTGTTCGCGTTACTGGATATGCTTGGCGTGGAGAAGTAAGACAGGGGAGGGTGAATTCGCTGCGCGGCCATATTGAATTTTTCATATTTCATAGTTTTACGCTCGACGGGTCTTGAGTCGGATTTTTAGGAAAATTTTAATATTCCCTTTGTCCTGATTTTGCTTTGCATCTTGTATCAATGATATTGGATATTAGGTCGGATACAAATGCCTTTTATTTTTTTCAATACTTCCATCTATGTTATACCATCACGAGTACCGACTCTGTTTTTAGATATGCTGCACAAGTTTTTTAAATGCAAATTTCCTTAAAAATTAGTTCAACGTGCAATAGTGAATACCTCGAGCATAGGGGGAGGTAAAGATGGGAATTATACTAGGCAAAGTCCCAACAGTCAAAGCGTTCTTTGGTTAATTTCATCTTGAACTGTACCAACTTTTATTTTGAATACCGCGTAGACCTAAAAAAAAACTGTCATGCGTCCATTCTCATTTCCCTACCTAATTTCGCATATCTTTCCATTCCAAAACTTCTTAACCCAAAGTTTAGGAACTCCGTTGTTTCTTTCCTCTTACCCCCCAATAAATTAATCTCCAGTTCGCATTTCGACCACATAAAAAGAGATGACAATTCCCTTCCGGAGGGGCCTCACTGAAATAAATATGACAGGGCCCAATTTCCCTCTCTTCTTTTTCATCCCCTTCCTTTTCCCCCTCCTTTTCCATGCTTCTTCCCGCCCAATATTTTTTATCCTTTCCTCTATTTCTTCTCCTACTTCCATGTCCACCCCCCTCCCACAGAATTAACTTCCCCTCAAATTTTTCATCTCTCCACCTTCAGTACCTTTTTCCTCTTCCTTGACGTCCTTCTCGCTCTCGCCCGCCCAGACGAAGGTTTATTAATTAAAAACGTGCAGTACCAATGGGTTCATGAATTTTAATAAGAATCCCTGTGAAGCAATTACCTTCCGTGCTGGCTAATTATAATTAATGCATACCGTTCATCCGAAGTTAACATTTGTAGTCTATAAGTCTTATTGTCACGCGGTATAGCATAAAGGGTGTATTATTATTAGGTATCTGACTCTGTGCAGTTACGATACCAGCTGCGGTCGTGCAACTTGGGCATGTTTTCATGTGCGACCTCAAGCCCCATGGCGCAGCATGGTGGTCCAGACATTCGTCTTCGGTATTCTGTCTAGAGCAGTTAGTTATTGTGCCTGAATTGTGCAAGTAATTTGTATCATACTAGCTAATTGCTTTCTATGAAGTTCAATTGTTTCCTTATATATACGGTCGACGGGACGAAAGTTTTGTTGGCTGAAGTTGGAGTTTAGAGAAAGTTCGATAATTTTATCTTCGACAAAGTGCGTAGAAGATTATCTTAAATAAAGTGAATAAACGATAAAGTAATACAGACCTACGATAAATGAAAATGATGATAATTAAAGAATTTTTTTTTTTTAATATCCGTCAACCAATACCCTAGAAAGAACTTACTGTACCATTATTATTATTATTTCTCTCAAACTTCACTCCTCATTCATATTTTTCATTTCTCTTAAAGCTTCGGCAATCTCTAACAAAATCCCCAAAGACGCGAATCCACCTATACTACGTACGTCGTTGCACACATTCTTTTTCCATACACTCGATACGTAAAACTCTAGAGACTCTTACGAATATTTTCCAAAGAATGCAAGAACTCGTACTTTTTTCTTTGGGATAAGGAAAAAAAAAAGAAAAAAATTCCGGAATCACAAAAACGAACTTTGTTCGGTTCCAAAGTCTAGCTTTTCTTCCCGTTTCTTCTTCGTACCGCATATATATGTATATATATATTCTTCTTTACTTCCAGCGTCCTGGACGTAATGCCTTTCCGGGAAAACATTGGCCCGGACAAACTTTCCTCCATGCAAGTTCCGTTTCGTGGCGAGGAACTTCCAACAGAGTCGGGCGGACGCTTACGACGAATTAAGATGCCCGGTTCCTTTGGGTCCCCTTGTGTACAGACCTTTACCCGTCTCGTCCGTCCAAACGCAAATGGTCTCAACCGAGCATTACGTTTCAGGTACATTCGTGAATTCACCTCAAGGAGAAAACTTGGGCTCGTATGCGGTCCCAACATTAAATCCCTATACAAGAGTAGAGAGCGAGGAGGAAGCCATTTGCGGCGGTTGTAGCAGCGCTCTGTTAATGCCAGCAGCAGCAGTGCCAGTCGTGCTAGTATCACTGGTAAGAGTAGTAGCGACAATAGTAGTAAGCAGTACTAATACCGGTAGTACAGGGAAGCAATGGAATTTCAGTAGCGATAATAGAAATACATAACGAGAAATCCAAGAGTAGAGGGAACACAGTGTATAAACGACTGATAAGTCTCAGGAAGGCGACCTGATTCATTCGGCGGTCCAAGTACAATTTTTTGTTCTCTCTACTTTATCGACGCGTTCTTGCTTCGCTGAACTAACAGCGCTAAAGTGACAGATAGATAAAGGAGTACGTGTAATAAATGTAAAATTAACCGAACAGTTATAAATCTTAGCGCGAAGGAGATACGAGATTTTATGTCCATCAAAGTATTATCAAGGTCAAGCATGAAATTATGTATGCACTGTGAAGAAAATCGTATGGTTGTAAATGACATGAAGAACGACAAATTGAAATAGCAAGAACGAAAAATTGTATGAGGATTTATTATTGTGCCTGCGAGTCTGATAAATGTTCTAGGACGCCATCTTATCGAAATTGTTGTTACTAATAAATATAATTGATGTTGAAAAAATATTGCGCAAGCCGATCACTATTATATTTAATTTCTCCACGTATATTATCTAGTCCTCCATAAGTGGCTCTAACACACTTTTTACCGTCGGTAACGTAACGGCTGTGTACTTACGAAATTGGTTATTGGTTTCTAATTTTGATTTTAAATATACATATACTTAGGTTATATTTTAGGTTAAGATTATCTGGCATCGGTATCTTTGATATAAAGGTATTTCTCAAGTTTTCATGTGCTCGTCCGAGAGTACAAAAAATTTCTTGATCAAACGTCGTACTCTGTAGTATCCTCCATCGCCATTAGTGGCACGAATTTGCATAACACGTCGAAAACAATTTTTCAAGGCAACAGCCTCAAACGGCAGAGCGGCATTGATTCCAGTGGATTTATGTGAAAACAAAAAAAAACTATGCGCAAGAAAAGTTGAGAGTCAGCGCTACACGTGTTGGACTGTCAGGCTGCAAACCGAATTTCGTGGAAGTGATGGAGGCGAAGACATAACACGGCAGAGGTGGGGATGACGGAGCGAGAGTCTTGGGCCGACACGGGCGAGCTGAGGCTTTCAGTGCCTTCACGGCCGCAGGAGGTGTCAGGTCGGTGTTTTCGTTTCGCGTCGAGATATGCCGACAAACTTATACCGACTGAGCGAGCTGAATAGCCATGACAATCGGAAGTCATGCTGGATCGTTATTCACTCGAAGGTCTACGACGTTACGAAATATGTGGACGAGGTAAGTTCTGGCGTATCTCCTCATTGGAGGCAGCCATAAGGAAAGGAAGGAAAAACGAGGTATGTTACGTACACGCGAGACGCGGCATTTTAGGTTAGGATTTTCTTAGCTCGCCCACTTACCAAGCCTACGGGTTGCCGTGTGGTTATTATCGTGAATGCCATTGTGTTGCGCAACGTACGTCAGGCGTTAGAGAACCCACGGGAAAGTTGTTCTCATTGCCAGCGTGATACGATTGCGAAAGAAGATACGAGGTATAATCATTTCGAGGAAGGGGGTCAAGGGTCACGATACCAAGATCCAAGAGAATCACGTTTCGGGAAAAAGCTTTGAGTCTGCCATAGCGACAAACGATTCTTTCGATAATTCATGGGCCTGTCAACTGTTTTCTTCGATACTAAAAGAGTCAGGGGTCGCTTGTGCGGGTCGAGGGGGTGGTCGGGAGGAGGTAAGGTAGTCGAATGGGACACGCGTGGATCCCCTCTGGAAATCCGTACAGAAAGGGCAACAGTGATAGACGAGGTTTACAAGGTGAACGTCAGGCACGTAGGATTCGGTCGCGATAAATTGCCAGAAGATAAAAAGTTTTACGAGAAATATCAAACGGGGTACGTAATCCTTTCTTTTTTTTAATTCTTTAACGACGCCAGCAAGGAGAATGCGAATTGCATAGTTGGGAGAACTATTTAATTAGGTAAATTTTTATTGGCAGCATCCTGGCGGCCCGGCGGAGATTCTGAACGTGGCTGGTAAAGATGCCACTGAGGAATTCGAAGAGGTTGGCCATTCCGACGAGGCCAGAAATATTCTGACGAGGATGCTGATTGGGGCACTACATCCAGTAATTTGAAAGCCGATATTCAATTCAGAGCATCGCGCGATACCGTCGCGGCCGCAAGCGACAGAATGTCAATGAATATGAAGAGGCAAATGGGAATTTCTTTTTTCTTTCTAGGATGACGTCGCGGCGATTGCCAGGGAGAGGCGAAACGAAAGGCGTGAATTTTGGTTCAAGTAAGCAAATCCACTTTTTGAATAATTTTATACCTTGCAATTGTTATTACACAGGTTGCAGTTATATAAAGACAAATTTATCCCTTGGTAGCAGTGATTTTATTGGAATCAAATTAAATTTCAATTGATTTTCGTTATGGTAGAACATATCGATTGTCATTGTAATGTAACCAATTTTTTTTTTTCTTTAGGGTTGCAGCAATATCCGCTGTACCTATAGCTGTCGGTGTGGTGACAGCAGTGATACTGTGGAGAGGAAAATGAAATACGTTTTTTCGAAAAATACAGGACAAATACATATATATATATATATAAATCTATCACGCATTTATACTTTTGCATCATTGCAAGTGATGCTGTAGGTTTTTCGGGAAAGCGAAAACCGTGCTAATGTTTTTTTTTGGCAAAATTCAAAACACCCAGCCATATGTATGCACGTGTGCACAAACAAAATTCCAGTAACGTGAATGTTCAGTCTTCATTTCCTTGATCAAATATTTTCAATAAGAATCAGGATTATTTGTATAAAATCAGTATTATTCAAATTGTTTTCCAAGTACATTGCCAGAATCACGTTGAATTGTGTAACATGATAATAACTTATTTTAATTAATTACTATTAGCGCTGACTGTCGTGCCAATGTCCAATTACATTTATAAAATCTAAATGAGTTTTTGAATAAATGACAGACCGTATTTCACCATAAATAAGAAACACATACACCATAAATATATATTGCTAGTTATTAAAATTTATGTACAAGGAAAAAAGTTATTTACAATGTAAATGTCAATAAGTGACAATACATTGTAGCAAATTTATCAAAGAAACAAGTCAACTTGTTTTAAAATTTCAATAAGTTTTACAAATTCTCCACCGTGTGACAGTTTGATGTCGAAAAAAATTCTTTTTAATATTACTTCAATAACAACCAAAGATCATTAGGTTATCGCATTTCTGTGCTCTCTCGTATCTGTACTGCATAAATTAACAAAAACGCGACAAAAAAAGCCAAGGCTGATTTACATGTTATCCATCGTGCGGAATTTCATTTCCAATAAATAAAAGTGCCACCCAGACCAAATTGCACAAAACCACAGCATAGAAAAACAGCGTGTCTTTTTTTTGCAAATTTCTATGGAGCTACGTATAAAGAAAGTTGCATAATAATCGCGATTCGACCTTGATCTCTCCAGTGCCAATCGTGCACAAAATTGTCAAAGCCGTCGCTCGCTGCTGCTGTTACGCAATCCCTGGTTCTTTCTCAAGGACGGCAAACGCGAACGCGCACTGAATGCGCTTCGAAAGGTCGGGTCAAAGTGGCAAATTGCGGCATCAATTTTCAGCTGGAGAAATGCCGCCAATTCATTCTCGTTTGTACAAAGCCGTCGCCGTTCGCAGAAACGAAGTAAGAGGAACGTCGGATATTTATCAATTTTTCTTGACTGCCGCGTACGCGCCGACGGTAGGTAAACAAATAAAAAGCTTTACAGCGTACGAACTATACACAAATACCACAAAATGTGGTACAGTCGATGACGGAAAGCCAATTATAAATATCCTACACAAATGTTTATCAATCTATTTAATTAATGTTTGGCTGACTAACGTAACGTCATTAATAACTTATCGATATGTTGATCCATCCATTGTCGTCCCTCCAATACCATTTTATCCACTGTACTTCTCCGCGTTGTATATTCCAGTATTAAGGTTATAAAATATTCCGATTAATGCACCCGTGTGTTTCCATGTAACCAGGGGCAACGCCAAATAACAGATAGCGAGTATCCCTCTGGCGGGAGAAACCATAAACCATATTACACTAGGTAGGTATACCTTTGTCATCGGACGCTTTCGCTATCTCTCTGTCTATCCAACGCTTTTTTTTCCTACCCTCTATTACCGTCTTTTTAGTGTTTTTCTTCTCCTGTCTTTTACCCTCTCTCTCTCTCTCTCTCTCTTACTTTCCACCCAGTCTCTCGTCTCTTGCTCCTGGACGCTCGCTGGCTTGGAAAACTGTTTTCGTTTCGTGCCGTCGCGAAAATTCAATTAAATGGCAGACGCTGTCTACTGTGCAACCCCGTTGACCGCTCTCGTCTCACGCCCGACCTGGCACAAACCATCCGTTTGATATAGGTACTAGAATTTAATTGAGACACCTACCGCCAGGGGCGCCTCGGTCGATTCTACGGATTCTGGTAAATCTGTTATTGGACATTATCTTTGATATCAAAGATAAAACTGTTACACAGATTTTTATTGAATTTAGGGAAAAACATTTTTTTTTTTTTTTTTTTCTAAAGTACAAGTATAATGCAAATTCGCAGAGGTATTCTGCGCGAGATTTTTACTGATACAGTAGGTGTGAAAAAGACTGCGAGTTACTTTTTAAATTGAAGAAAGGGTCTCTACCCTCTCACCCAATCAGGATCACCTTGAAATCCGTCCAACCTCTCTACCTCGCGCCTTCTACGTCTTTTCATGAAAAGGTCGGTATACGAGCGGGCATCGGTTAGCATAATGCTCGTGTCAGACGCAGGGTCTCAGGCATAATTTACCAAACGTTCCTGGCACATTGCCCCACTTCCAAGCAGGAAGTTTCGCGACGGCTTTAAAGGGAGCCTCTTATCACGCCCGGCAAACTTATAATTCGAGATTCGAAATCTGAGAAGTTCGTGGCAAGTCGACGAGGTCGGAAATCTACATTTTTTTTTTTTTTTTTTTTTTTTTTTTTCCTTGATACAGCCTAGCTCGATTAGTACGAGTCAGTGCAACTAGATGGCACCGCAAATCTAATGAATATTGAAGCGACTTGGAATTGATAAAATCTACAGTAGAGAGGAAACCAACAGTTATTTTAAACCTCTAACAAAATCCTTATAAGTTATATTCAAACAGTGTGTATGGGATATACGTGGCTAGACCTAACCTCAAATTTTCGGCTATACTTAAACTAACGAGGTTATACAATCAAACCAGCATGCATCAACCAGATGCTAATAGGTATACCATGGGTATACCAATGTACTGTTGGTATTGCTCGTACTAATGCCGGGAACCCCCTTTTCTTGTATTCAAATTTATTCATAAACGACACCTAAAGCCGAAATGACGTCTTACATGTAAATGCTCATGAACTGAAAATTGCGATACAATTCACCGTGTCAAACCAGTCACTTACAGCTTTGACGTAACTTGTCAAATATTTTTTTTCAAATTTTTTTTTCAATCCTTTTAGAGTTTAAATACTGGCGCGCCCTTTCTTGATAGGAATTCGCGGATCGCTCTAGTTCTTCTTGTTCATGTAGGTTGGCAACTATGGATTCGCTCTAACGTACTTTATATGCGACACAAAAATAGTAAGACAATGATCCTCTTTGTAATATCTTGTATTAAAGAAAAATATCTGGAAAAGAATCAAATCCGAAATGAAAATTCGAAAATTTCAATTACGTCGTGCACTTGGAACTCAAGTAAAAATTTTTTCATTTTTTTTGTCTCTCCGCTTTAACCCCTTGACATGCAGATAAAAAGTCAAAGTCCACAATGGCACATGAAATGAATGACGTCTCCGAGACGTCATTGTATGTCAAAGGGTTAAGAGCATCGATTCTCTTCAACCTGTCACTTCTTAAGTCCCGTTACGACGTAAAGGTGTAAATAAAATATTTCCTTGTAAACGTTTAAACGTTGATTTGTGAAGTGGGTCAAGAGGCTTTAAGGAAATAGGGAATTAATATTTTTATGTAAAAAAAAAAGAAAAAAAGAAATTAAGTAAAAGCGACGGTATTAAGATGTCGTGAATAAATTTTGAATAAATAAAAAAAAATCGATGTTTATATTATTACTGACTTTCATTTTTTTATTAAGCATTTCACGTTTCGAATTAATATCAAATTTGAATTAACCATTATCATCGTAAGGTAACAAATACGTAACTTTAGTGACCACTTTCACGTTTTCGCATTCTCGACTATAAAACTGGACGGCATACCGGATCGAATGTGAAAGTCCCGATCGGAACGATCTGAAATGAATTTTACCGAAAACCGGAAGTTACGCAAAGTCTTTTTTTTTCGTCTACATAAAATGCATATAAGATTTCAAGTTATAAAGCCACTCCGTTCTACACGCTACTAACGGGTAACACGAATCTCCGACGATCGTGATAATTTTCTCTATCACGATTTCAATAAAATTCTATTACAGACTTTTATTCGATAAACGTTCACGTGTCCTGCGAACCGAAACAGGATCTCGTGCGTCCTTGCATTTTTCTTCTGCTGCAAGTTAAGGACGGTGAAATTGACTGACGCACGAGTGATTTGTAATTTTTTTTTAATCTACTTCAAGTTCGATCGATGAAAAAAAAATTTTTAAGTTATCATTTTTAACCTCGTAAAAAAAAATTCCTACTCCGTTATCACACAGTAAAGTTATCCCGAGTAGCCCTATGCATAAGTAAAACGTCATTGTCAGATGCATTAAAGTTTTTCGAAACGGGCAAATTACGTCTGACAATAAGAGCAAAGAAATTCTTTCAATAGAAAAACAAGGGCGAAAAAACGTACATTAGAGACAATCGAATTTTGACAGTTCTCCAAAGTTTGCCCGGGACCCAGTATTCTCGGCGGTGTTACCGGAATCTGACAGGTACGTCAAAAGTCACCGAACCGCGTGTTCGACGGGAAAAGTAGAAAGGTCACGCTCGTGGTCAGACCAAACAGAGCACGTAGTCGCGGCAACGCGGATTCTGGCACGACGCCAGAAATCCTCGTCGGAGTTACGGCACACCCGGTATGCACTACTCGGGACCTATCTCGGCCAGTACGACGGTAATCGTGGAAATGACTTGAATCCCAAGCAGAATACTGATGACAGTTTACCGATCGATAGGCTCCCGTAAGGACTTTTCGCGGAACTGAGAATATTCCATATCCATTGAGGATCATCCTACTTCCTCAAGAATCCTTCAAGTCCTTCGTTCGTCTCCACGTTCCATTTCGATTTCTTCGAGGACTTTTTATTAGGGTCGATTGACCCTCATCCCCATAATAAAGGGGAGCATCCTTGGCTGAGACGAATAAAAGTTTGTTGAATACGAAAAAAAATTTTTTTTTTTTTACAAAATATCAAATTACACCTTTTTTCATTCTACGAATTAATTTTTCATGTGAAAAAAAAATTTTTTCTCACAAATATTATTTAGCGGTCTAAGCTCGTGCCTTGGCAAGTCTTGCGAAAGACTTCCGAAAGACCTGATATTATTTTTCACGTCCTACGATGCATTCTCTTTTTGGCTCAGATCTCTTTTTGGCTTTTCGAATAATTTTACCTCTAGCATGCAAACGGCACTTGCCGTCCGCTGCGAATCGCTAACTTGGATACAGGCCTTTACGCAAAAACTTTTCTTACCCCGCGAAACTTTCGCACTCGGATGGAAAATTTCTTTTATTATTTTCGACTTTCGGATCTGCGTTTCTTTCGTCTTTCTTTTTTTTTTTTTTCGGCACCGCCGTTACTGCTATCATTGCCAATACCACTGCTAAAAGTAACAACTGCAGGAATAGCAACGTCTTTGTATCGTGATACAAGAATACAATGGCTTGCGTAAGATCCGTTATTGAGTACGGAAAAATAATTATTCAAAAATACATTAACCACGTGTAAGAAAAGGAAAAAAAAAAAAAAAAAAAAAAAAAAAAAAAAAAAAAAAAAAAGAAAAATCTCTCAAAAGCGAATAATAATCAGTCTCGTAAGTTATCACGTGTACGTATAAGCATGAAGTTTTCATTATGCGAATTATTTTATTATGCAAAAAGGAAACTGCATGAAATATCCATTAATAGCTATCTGTCTAATGATCATCCTCTGCAGCCTCTTCCTGTACCCTTATTGTACTACGGTACCTGTACCATTGTAAATGCAAGTGTTACTACGTATCCACGATAAAATCGTTACGCGGGATTACTGTCAACGAGTACCAAAAACTGGCCGTGTTTTACGTCTATGGAAAAATAAATTTTCAATAGCGAAATATACGCGCTGATAAAACGAGATACAAGACAAAAGGAAGAATCAACTTCACGGCGAATTTATCC